ACTATTACTATTACTATTGCTATTATTATTACTATTATTATTACCACTCTGTTCCTCAGCATCAGCTTTCTGTGGATGCGAAAGAACAGGTACACAAAATATACACACAGCTGTTACTCAGCAAAACCTGTTTCGAAGTGATCCTGCTGCAAAAGGGTGCCGAAAGCCTGAGGGCTCTACAAAGAGAAGTCCTTCCCTCATCAAAGCAGGAGCTCTGACATCTGCGGTTTGACAGGAGCTGTTTGATTCCTCTGGAGATAGCCTCTCCACTGAGAAATCTGTGGGATAACAGTGACACTCTGTGGCTAAACAGATAAAATGCAATTTCTGAATTTTCACAGCTTTTCTTTGCCTTCATTCATTTTACCAGATAGAAAAGTAGTAAAGATCAGTTTGTTGTTTTCATTCTTGTCGATAATTTCCAGTATCTTTTCAATACATTTCCTTTATTGCTAGAAAATGTCGTAAACATGTAAGCCAAGATGAAAACTAAAACCAAATGATAAAACAAAACCTTGCATCCAAAACCCCTGAATCTGAGGAGCACTGACAGTGCGATTCTGCTGTTGCCTTGGAACTTCACAAGTTGGACGAAGCGTGTTTTCATGTTCCTGCTTACATTGTCATTTTAATCACATTTCTTCCTGTGGAACTGGAATGAGGGAAGGCCCCTTAAGGGGAAATGGATTTCTATATTGCAAAGCAGAATTTCCTCTGGACTCATCTGAAGAGCTGAGCTTTGTCAGCATACCTCCAAGCTGTAATTTTATAGATAATTCCGATATTACCTATATTATATATAGTGCAAACAGTCAGTATGATAAAGCATCATAGCCTCAGTAGGGCTTCCATCTTGATAACAACTGAAGGAATAATAATAAAAAAAAAAATGGTCTTTGCTTCATAGCTTTTACATTCAACAGAAAGAGGAGCAAATACTAGGATACATGAGAGGATGGAGTAAAAACCTTTTTTTGGCACATATAACAGATATTTTTGTGTACGTACCTACTTTTTTCTCTTTTTTTTAAATGGAAACATTAAGAATAATGGAAGAATTGAGATTAAGGCATTTCAGGATAGTCAGAGCTATATTTTAACTAGTTTCTAAGGTGAAACCAGCATGTATGCAGTATGTAGCATAGACAAATGCATGACTTAAACTGGGACAGAGACCAGCCGTAAGAGGGAAAAGGGGGTGATGGCGTTAGAATCAATAAGGCTGAAAGAGTTGGGGCTGTTCAGCCTGGAGAAGAGGAGGCTCCGGGGTGACCTTATAGCGGTCTTCCAGTACCTCAAGGGGGCCTACAGGAAAGATGGGGAGAGGCTGTTCAGGAGGGCCAGTTATGATAGGACAAGGGGTAATGGTTTTAAAATAGAGGGAGGTAGGTTCAGGTTGGATATTAGGAAAAAATTTTTTACTATGAGAGTGGTAGAACACTGGAACAGGTTGCCCAGAGAGGTGGTGGATGCTCCATCCCTGGAGACGTTCAAGGCCAGGTTGGACAAGGCCCTGAACAACCTGATCTAGTTGGAGATATCCCTGTTCCTTGCAGGGGGGTTGGACTAGATGACCTTTGAAGGTCCCTTCCAGCCCTAACCATTCTATGATTCTATGATTCTAATAAGGAAACCAAAGAAGCTGAATTTTGAATTGCCTCCTGAGATGTTAGGAGTCAAGGAGGAAGAAATCTGTGAATTCAAGACATAAGAAGAAGGACCTGGAATGAGAGTTCCAGTGGTATAGACGGAAGAGTACACAGCATTGCCAATTTATGTGGGAAAAAACAAAACAATTTGGATAGCACTTGAATAAATGAGTCTACAGAGAGGACCTGCATCCTGGTAAAATTCTAAACAGCTTTGGAAATTATAAATTCAGAGATTGGAGTAACAATATTTATGAAAAATATTCTACAGTCGTATATAAAAGATGTGGTAGTTCAAACAGAAAAGAAAGCACTTTTCTTTCCTCATCAGCTGTTGCAACACCTGCCAGCTAAGAGATGAGAACTTGAAGGAAAAGTCTTCATTCTGTGCCATATCTCTCTACATCTACCTTGCTGTCAGGGTGCCATGAGGGCTTCCAAGGGGGTGTCAGGGCAGGGTCTGGCAGCCACAACCCATCCTACTGCCCCCAGCCAGGGAGCAGACAGGCTGCGGGACATGCAAGGACAGCCCCAACCCTGGGCATCAGGCACCTCCTTGAGAAAGGGGGTGGGCTGAGGCCCTCAGGGCCCTGACTTCTTCTCGACAACTGTCTGTTCCAGTTGTATGAGGCATACAGAAATTGAACTTCAAGGAAATGTCCACTAAATAATACCAAAAAAAAGCATCAAACCTTTTCCAGATACCCTGGTGCATGTATCATGTCTTTTCAGGAGGGCTGAGGACAAACAAATCAATACCATGTCATGGTTGACACTGTTTCAGGCAATGCTGGTTGGTCATGATGAGGAGAACATCACTTATGGAAGTTCAAATGGAGACTCTATTTGGACCTGTCTTAGGCAGTCTTGACATTTCCAGGTACGAGGACCAGCTTGTTGTGTCCATTCAACCTGCTGTGAACACTGAGCCCAACCACAGAAGGAGTTGAGCTTCAGTCATGTCACTGAACTCATCACAAGCAGGATGCTGCTGGAGGCCATAGACACATGCAGGGAAGGTCTTTGCGATCCCACCCTGTAGTTTTCAAAGCCACATCTGTGACATGGGGGGAAACTTTTGTGGTTGTTCTGCAAGGCAGAGCTTAGAAGTAAGCTCTTCTCCTCAGACCTTAGCCATGGTGGCTTTGGTGGCTTTCCTCAGAGACACAAGCATGTCTGGATGAGGAGGCACGCTCTGCCTTTGCCAGATTTGAGGTCTATTTGTTGCTCCAAGCAGATGCCATTAGGACGAACGCTCATGGTAAGGACCATATCTACTCCGGTTATTCCTGGCTCTGCTGAAGGTTGTCTGCCTCAGAACTGCCTTCCAAGAGGTGACGTGGGTTGGACCAAAACCTCACCTCAACTATTTCCACCGCTGGGCACGGACATGCTGTCTGGGCTGTGCCTATCGCAGGGGTGTGCTGGGGTGAAAGCACCTGTCTCCTGAGCTCCAAGGCATCACTGCTGAAGCCACTGCCTGAGGACACTGTGGGGACACCCCCAGGGAGGCTGCTTAGCGCCAGTGAGGCCCCTCAATGCCTTTGGTGCACTTCATCCCCAACTCCATCCCCAGCAATGGTGGCTTGCGACATGGAACTATCATGCAGAGATCATCGCTGGGAAAACTGCGTCTCCCACAGATATGTGGAAGTCTGGTCCCAGAGAAGGGCGTGACATTTCCTTCTCAAATAAAAGTGGCCGGAGAACAGCTCTGCGTTAACGCTGCGATGTGAGGTCTGCAGCTGCTTTCAGTTCTGCACACCTCTGGGCAGCCTTTGAGGAGCAAAACCCAACCAATAGAGAAGGTAAATACCGGCTTTGCTGGGGCTCTGCCTGGCTGCCATCCGCCGCTCTTGCACAAGCGACTCTGGGAGCTGTTTCGGCAGCACATTTTTGCCTCTGGCGTCTAAAGTTCAAGTGGTGCTGTCTTGTTAAACATTTTTCTCTTTTTTGAGGTAATTTTTTAACCCCTCAGCTGCAGAGGACTGACTTTGTTTCACTTACGAAGGTTAAAATGTGGTAAATACCTCGATGTAAGGAATTTTATAGATTTTTCACCCCAGGGAAAGCATTTTGACTAGTCGTATTTCGATGAGACATTAAAAAGCCATGCTTGTGTGCATTTTTTAAAATTGCTGTCATTAGCCTGTGCGCAACAGGTAGTAAAAGCTGATGCTACAGAGACTGGTTTTGTGCTTTTAAACAGAAGACTGGCAGAAAAATAGTCAGTTGTCTTGTTGCTCATGTTTAAATCCACACCCTTGAGCTGTGATTCAGCAAATTCCAAGAGTAACCCTGGTCTGAAACCCGAGTTCCTCCTTGTCCTGTCCTGCCGGGGGAGGATTTCCCCTAAAGAAGCCAATGAACAAAAGCTCATTTATTTCTGTATCTGGTGAGGAGGAAACTTGCTCCACAATCTCCCCACCTCTTCCTGCAATATGTTGGCTCTCTTTTGCACCGATCGCTTCGGATGGTGAATGAAAACGGAAGCGAGTGGCAGCGGCGCTGGGGTATAGAAATTGTTCTTCCGAACGGCGCTCCCTGGCTCTGCTCCACACTGCATAAATAATAGCTCTCACCTCATTTTAGCTACGAAGAGAAGGAAAAGCAAGCTGCCTGTGTCTTTCTTCAGCAAAGCTAAGGTCTTCTCTCAGAAAGGCAGGACAGAGGACTCTGTAATTATCTGACATTGTTGAGGAAATACACTGCTTTACTTTTTTGGCTGCAATTTTTTTTTGCCACAGTTGCGGCAGCGTCTTGATGGGAAAGCTGATCTCCAAAGGCCCACGCAAAAGAGATGCTCGAGTTGTCATGCTGGGGCTCGACTTTGCTGGCAAATCCACCCTTCTGTACAAACTGAAGAGGGGCCGGGCTGTGGAGACCTGCCCGACGGTGGGCTTCAACGTGGAGTCTCTGCAAACACCCTGTCGCGTATCCTTCACCCTCTGGGACGTTGGTGGACAAGGCAGCCTGCGGGCAAGCTGGCCTGCCTACCTGGAGGACACCAGCACTCTCATCTTTGTGCTTGACAGCACAGACACAGCCCGGCTGCCCGAAGCGACCGCAGCACTGGAGGAAGCCCTGAGCCATCCCAGCATGGCTGGCGTCCCCGTCCTCCTTCTGGCCAACAAGCAGGAGGTGGCAGGAGCACTGACTCCGTCCGAGCTGGGGGAGAGGCTGCAGAAGGCTGGCGAGACACCGCTGGGTGCTTCGAGGGTGCAGTGCCCACACTGGCCAGGGCCTGCAGGAAGCCCTGGCCATCCTGGGAGAGCTGCTGCGAGGTCTGGAGCAGAGCTCCCCATCCCAAGAGCAGCCCCTCGCAGGACTGGTGGGGAGGAGGCAAGGTCCAGAGCAAACCTGAACCTCAGGTGGACCCTTCCCACTCATTGCTGCCAGCAGGTTTGCCGCAGAGAATCCCAGCCTTTGGGTACCCCATAAAACGAGCAGACCTCCAGCTGGCAGGTGCCGCAAAACGTCCAGCTGCTCACCACTGAAACCAACCAGGAAGACCTCTGAGCAAAAGTGCCATCATGGAGCGTTTTTTGGCCTCATCTCTTGGGCTGTCATCACTGGCTGCAGCTTGTCCCACTGTCATCAGGCTCTACTCATCCATTGTGTGCATGTCCAGCACTTCAGCAGGGATGCTTTTTGCCAGAGCAATATAAATTAACACAGAGATGTCCACAAGGGACAGAAGAGGTTTTCTTCTTTCTGCGACTCTCAGCCCAGATGCAGCTATCCTGATGGGGTGATCCCCACAGTAACGATGGACACGTGCCCCATGCTGCTTCTCACTCAGTTTGACTCACGTGTTCATCGGCTGGGGAAG